AATATAAAGGGAAGGGTAAACCCCTTTAAAATCCCTCCTGGCCAGAGGAAAAATCCCCTCACCTGCAAAGGGTTAAGAAGCTAAATTAACCTCGCTGGCACCTGACCAACATGACCAATGAGGAGACAAGATACTTTCAAAAGCTGGGAGGAGGGAGAAAAACAAAGGGTCTGGGTCTGTCTGTGTGATGCTTTTGCCGGGGACAGAACAGGAATGGAGTCTTAGAACATTTCGTAAGTAATCTAGCTAGGTATGTGTTAGATTATGATTTCTTTAAATGGCTGAGAAAAGAGCTGTGCTGAATAGAATGACTATCCCTGTCTGTGTGTCTTTTTTGTAACTTAAGGTTTTGCCTAGAGGGATTCTCTATGTTTTGAATCTAATTACTCTGTAAGGTATCTACCATCCTGATTTTACAGAGGTGATTCCTTTACTTCCATTGAAAGTCTTCTTGTAAGAAAACTGAATTCATTGTTCTAAGATCCAAGGGTTTGGGTCTGTGGTCACCTATGCAAATTGGTGAGGATTTTTACCAAACCTTCCCCAGAAAGTGGGGTGCAAGGGTTGGAAGGATTTTGGGAGGAAAGAGTGTCCAAACTACGTTTCCCAGTAAACCCAGTTAAAGTTTTGTGGTGGCAGTGGAAATTCCAAGGGCAAAGGGTAAAATTAATTTGTACCTTGGGGAAGTTTTCACCTAAAGTGGTAAAAGTAAGCTTAGGAGGTTTTCATGCACGTCCCCACATCTGTACCCTAGAGTTCAGAGTGGGGAAGGAACCTTGACAGTTACTAACCAAGCTTTGAGAACTCCTTCCAATCATGGAATTATTTTCCTCTGTAGTTTTGATGATGAGTTTGTTCCTAACTCCACTTGGGGTGAGGTGCACATTACACCATTCAGCTCATTCCTCTGAAAACTGTATGGGTCAGCTACATTGCTGGGATCATTCGACTGACTTCACTGATGGTGCAGTGGGAGATTCGGAAGCCCTGAATGAAAACCGGCCCATATAGTTCAGAAGCAGTGGTGAGCAGGGAGTGAGTAATCACTATGACTGGTTTTATTGCTGACTCTGCCACTCGCTCCCTGTGTAACCTTCACCTCAGTGTGCTTGTTCACCTCCACATCAACCAGATTGAATAGTGATATTCTGCTCGAGAATCACAGGCTTCCTGAAATCACAGAACTTCAAAGCATTTGAGGCTCATTAAAGTTGTGTGTCTGCATAGGGATGTATTATTTTAATAGTAGAATTTTTTCCTTGGATTATATGCCCCCAAATTGTGGATTAGAATTAAAGGGCTTTCTCAACTGTGTCCTGGCCAGGTGGGAGTGGGGGAGTTGTGCATGGGAGAGACCCATCGATCGAATACTACAACCGACACCACAGACAAGACAGACAGCACCTCTGGCTCTGCGCACACCTGCCCCACATGTCTCCAGAGGGGCAGCCCAGAGCCCCTGAGTAACGCTGGATTAAACGAACTTTACAAATGCACGTTAAGGTTTCTGATGTCATACCAATACTCAGTGATGATTCCTAGCCTCAGAATTTGGGGCTATTTGATTTTCATTCCAAAAAGTTTTACATTTCCATTTCTTCAAAAAACATTCCCTTGTAATGCTCAAGGGGCAAATGCTGAGCCACTGAACATTAGTAGAGCTCCATAGACTTCACTGACTTCTGTGCCTTAAAACCGAGCTAAGGCATTTTATGCTGCTCAGGTCGGAACCAAACTTTGTTGTCGTGGAAGAAGAAGTTCTCCTTATCTCTACCTTTCTTGTGCTTCTTCCTTATCTTTATTTGCTGAAGTATCTCACAAGACCCAGTTCTCTTGGCTACTCATGGATAGAGATGGAGTAGTTCATGTTTCCCATTGATTTCACTGGCTCAGCATCTTCCCTTCAACTGGAAAATATGTATAAAAGGGAAATGCAAAGGTACAGTAACAAAAACCAAAGAGTCCCAAGGCAGGGCCTCTCAAAATTTTCTAAGAAGGCTTCTGTATCATCACCTAGCTTGTATGTGGGGAATTTCTTGGAATGGGAAGCGGTACCTGAAGAAGGACCGTGAGGGCTACCTGGTTGACCCAGCTTAGCCTTTTCCAGCCCTAAACACGTCAGCTCCATTTCTCCCTCCAAGCGCTTTGCCTCTTTCCTCTCTTCCACTTCCAAATGATTCGCCTCCGCTTCTGCCTCCAGGCGCTTCGCCTTCAAGCGCTTCACCTCTCTCCTCTCCTCTCCTCTCCTCTGCTTCGACCTCCAAGCAGTTCATCTGGAGGAAGAAATTCCTTTCTTCCATAGTTAGATCTCGGCCGGGGTTAAGGGCATCCCTCCATCTTGGCACTGGGATCTCGGGTGGGAGAGGGCTGACCCTTCCCTCTTGGGAACTCTAAGATCCCCTATCTCCTCCCTGCATTTCTGTCATGGAGCTGGCTGGCTGGGCTTGGGCTTGGTCTGTCTTCCCCGTGGTGTGCCGCTGTGGGAAGACTGGTTGTTCTCGTCTTTTGCAGCCTGGCAATTATGTTCTCGTGTGCAGAAGTAATTCTACGTGCAGAGCCTCATCTGGTCTAACTTAGTGCAGCTCCAGTGTGAAGCCAGCGGAACACTGCAGATTTACACCCGGGGAGGAGATGGTGTTTAGTGGGTTTTTTTGTAAAGAGAAAAAATCGCACTTTTGTTCTTTCATCAGCTAGTACTGGTGTCTCGTTACGGTTTACAAACCAGAGCACCGCACTGTGATGCTGGACTGAACTCATTTGTAAGTAGAAGTTACATCTTAAGAAGGAAACCAGCATTATTAATGCTATCCCAGCCTTGTTCTGCGTGATATTTTTTTAATGGACTATGAATCCCAAGCATTATTGATAAAAATTCTACACATTTATACTTCTTTGAAACGGTAGCATTTTAGGAGAAAGGTAGAAACAAGGATTCAAAAGAACTGCTTAAGGGTGGATAAATTTATCTCGAGGCAATACGTTATTTTCTGTCGTATATAGTACCCATAACAAATGGCCAGGTTACCAAAGTTTTCCCAGCATTTGTCTGTATGAATAATCCCTATTGAAACACCCAAAGCCAGGGGAAGGCAGGCTCCATTGAATAGGGTGGGTGGCCTGTGGAGTTCAGGTTGAGAAGACCTTTCTTGTGAAGAGCTAAACTTCAAAGCACTCCAGAAGCAAAGTCATCCTTGTCCTGAAAACGTTGCTCTGCCATTCAAGGAGTTGGGGCTCCAGTTAACCTTGCCTTAATCAAGCCATTTGGTGGCCACTTGGCTTTTCCCTCCGAAAACCTGGGTCGCTATCCTGCAAAGACTCACAAACACTTTTACTATGGACCATGTGACTGGTCTTCTTCAAACCATAGGAAAACTTCCCGCAGGCATGGCTCCACGCAGCTCCCATTGGCTGCAGTTCGCCTTTCCCGGTCAATGGGAGCTGCAAATGCCTTTACTGTTTCCTCTTTGTGTTATGAGAAGGAGTAAATAAGAGTTCTTATTTATTTTCTCCACTCCAGTCATCAATTTATAGACCTCTATCATATCTCCCCTTAGTCATCTCTTTTCCAAGGTGAAAGGTCCAGTCTTCTTAATCTCTACTCATAGAGGAGCTGTTCTACACCCCTACTGCTTTTTGGTGCCCTTTTTAATCTTTTCCAATTCGAATATACCTTTTTGGAGATGGGGTGACCACATGTGCATGCAGTATTCAAGACATGGGTGTGCCATGGATTTATCTAGAGGCAAGAAGATATTTTCTGTCTTATAATGTTTTCCCAGCATTTGTCTTGCTGAATAATCCCTACCGAAACACTCAAAGCCAGGGGAAGGCAGTCTCCATTGAATAGGATGGGTGGTCTGTGGAGTTCAGGTTGAGAAGACCTTTCTCGTGAAGAGGTAATCTTTCAAAGCACTCCAGAAGCAAAATCAGCCTGTCCTGAAAGGAGTTGGGGCTCCAGTTAACCTTGCCTTAACCAAACCATTTGGTGGCCACTTGTCTCTTCCTTCCAAAAACCTGGTCGCTATCCCGCAAAGACTCACACCCTTACTGTGGACCATGTGACTGGTCTTCTCCAAACCATAGGAAAACATCCATTCTTAAATGGAAAAGCTGTCTGGTCTTTGCAGGAAAAGAGTCTTTGCTAAAACAGATAAACCAAGGAGGAACTCCACCCAGGTAAGGACGGCTCTCATAATGCTGTGAACTGAAGCGCTTCAATGGCTCCAATCTCTCCATGGCTTCGAAAAGGTGCAACTTGAGAAGTGCCTGGTGCTGCCGCTGATAAAGGGATGAATCTCCTCCAGCGCGATTTTCAAACGAGGAGGGAGGAACAAAGAGAACCAGAGACTGATCTTATGATGCAGCATAGGTTTTAATGCAAATGCAATTGGCAGTACAGAGTTACAGGAAGAAATAATACAGAGCGGAAAGAATGTATTTCCAGTGATTCAAGGAGAGCTGCGACTGATCAAAGGCCTCAATGGGATGTATTTCAGACACAATGTTCTTTTTGCATTGGTGCAGCTGCAGAGGTTGACAAACGAGTCTCCTTTATAACCAATTTAAGTTTATTGTTTTACCCCAATCCATGTGTAATGAGACAAAGCAAAAGAGAAGCAGGAACTATGCAGCTTCTCCATTAGACATCTGCGGCACCAAAGGTCAAAGCAAGACACCAGAGGTATGGATTGATGAAAAGGATAGAACATATATGGCCTAATTCTGCTTGACAGCAAGGCTCTTTTCCCCACTCAGAAAGAGTCCTAAAGCGTAACATCAGAAATGCAGCATGGCTATCAGACCAAGGTGCTGAGCGCACACAGCTCCCACTGACTTCAAGTGGAGCCATGTTTGCACAGCACTTCTGAAAGCCATGCCCAAGAGGTCACCGGTGAATCGGGATCTTGCTGTTCATTTTCTGGTTCTTCCTTCATCCACGGATGTTCCTGCTGGCTTTAGCATGGCCCACAGCTTCCACTGAGGTACCTATGGCAAGATACCCGGGAACCACATATTCCCCCCCCGTAACCATAACCGCATGGGTAACCACCTAATCCCCCATAACCACATCTCCCGTAACCCCAAGGGCCACCGTAACCACCATAACCCCCTAAACCATACCATCCTCCGTAACGGCCTCCATAGCCGTACAATCCCCCAGGACCGAAGGAGCCTCCGAAACCGGGTCCGACCACAGGTGCTCCTATGGCTCCCACTTCACTGTGTTGAGGGAAATTGCTGAGAATTGGTCCCGGGAGGGTCACGACCACAGGTGAGGGTCTGATCACCACTTCGGAGTCAGGGCACTGCCGAACGCACGGCACGTTGCAGCTGCCAGTGACTGGACTGGGTTGGGCCACCCCGCATTCTGGATAACACAGGCCAGAGAAAGCCATCTTTCTGGGATGGAGGTAAACCTGTAACACACACCAAGGACTAGAGTAAAGAAAAGGTACAAGTGCCAGTGGATGAAAAGCTTCAAATCTCAGTTACTATTGCAGCAAGGTCTTCCTGGGACCCGAGAGAGAGAGAGAGAGAGAGGTAAGTTTCCTTAGTCCCTATGTTCATGGCCACGTATTTCTCCTTATATCCTCTTTCTACGCCTCTTGTCCACTCGCACTAAACTTCCCTCCCAACTGGCCCCTTTGAGTCCCTCTCAATGACTTTGTCTAAAAAACACCGACTGGAATAAGGGGAACTATTTCTAGGCTGGACACCTAGGATTCTGTGTTCATTTGAGACATTTCACATGGAGAACATGGCTGGGATCATGGTAATTGAACCCTTCGTTTGAGGATTTCACCTCTGCATTGCAACTCAGTTGAGTCCAGTATCACAGTGTAGTTCTTTGATGAATAAGAAACAGAGACTTTGCTTTTCTCCAAAGTAATCACTAAGGACAAGCTGGGGTACAATGGGTTTAGGTCCACTGACTTCCATGGAGTGACACTAAATTACACCATCCGAGAAGAAGCACCTGCAATGGGTATTACTGCTCAGAAGAACATAGGAATTGATAGATTGGATCACACCACTTGTCAGCTTCATCCATTCTCCAGTCTCCAAGAGTGAGGAGTAAAAGCAGCATCAGCATAAAGGAGAAGACCACTCAATTGGCTTTTTCTGGATTAACCTGAACAAGTTTCTTCCTAATCCAACTAAGTGAAAAATGGTAAGGGACTTCCTAAAGTTACCGAGAAGATGTAAATGCCCCATTTCTATTTCCAGTTAATAGGAATTATGTTTCCCAAATGCATATGTTGCTCCTAAATTCCCCGATCAGCTTCGAATCGTGAATCCTCTGGGACCTGCAAATGAGTAACTGCACAACATAATTATGGAAGAAAATCCTGATCGCTGATACAAATAACAAGGAGTAAGTGCAAGATTCAGTCCTAAATATAAATGGACCCTACTGTGACATCTCTATGGTTAATAACAGATTGAGACTTACCTAATTCACTGAGGAGATGAAGTCCGGAGAAGTGTTTAGAAGAGCGCTGAGTCTTGTGTGCTTTTATACAGTCCCTGGGACTGCCTGGAGGATCTGCCATGTCATTTGTGGAGGAGGTCCGAATTAGTTACAAAACAAACTTGATTGCCTTGCTATGTCCTCCTTTGGATGGAGCTCTTTTCCTCAGGGGTTGTGATGATTGGGCTAATGGCATCCTCAGTGGGCGTGACATGCACGTTGCACTCTTCATCTTTCTTTCATCTTAAAATTGTACATGCTAACTGCGTTCCTCGTCTCATTCCACTGACTTCATGGGGGCTGCAGTGAGATTGAGCTTCAGGCTGTTTCTGAGTGGCATCAGTAGCACGACAGGCTCTGATGAAAGGAATCTAGTCTGGTCCTTTCCATTCATGCTGGTCGTAGTTAGGGGCATGGGGCAGTTCATTCTAAACCGGCTAGGAAAGTGGGAGCCACTTTTTTGCATTCTTTTGAATTAGGTCTTAACTCTATTTCAGTGAAAATGAAACAGCCCTGACTTGTGTGGCTTTTAAGTGATAACTTGATTCAAGGAATAGTACGAGGGACCTTGTGCTCCGTTTCATTTATAACGACTCTCTTACTTATTGCACAGGTGTCTAATCCCCAGAACAATGTATTAGTGTTCCAAAAATACAGCACTTTTCATGTGTGAAACACCAGTGAGTATTTGTGAGGGGCTTTGAAATCTTGAGGGAACTTCCAGCTTCTCACTTGGGGTTTATTTCTGACTCTGCCAATCACTCCTCTCTGACCTCCAACTCAATGTGTCTCCGTTGACCTGCGGGGTAAACAGGTATAATTATAACTCTCCTGGTGCACTGCCTGAGGCTTCCTCTGATCTAAGCATTTCAAAGCACTTCACAAATGTTCATCAAGTGTTACAGGGCCAAAGAACTGTATTCATTATGGTAACTATTATAACTTTTTATTAGCTTTAGACATTCCAAGCTGGAAGATTAGATTGACTTTAAAAATGCGTGTCAAGTTCCCAGATGTCATTCTGGTACTGGGCTCCTGATTTCTTTAGCCTCCGAAACTGGGGTTCTTTGATTTTCGTTACTGTTCCTTTGCATTTCCCTTTTAGATATATTGTAAAGTTGAAGGGTAGATGCTGAGCCAGTGAAATCAATGGGAAACATCAGTTCCTGCATCTCTATCCATGAGTAGCCCAGAGCACTGGGTTTTGTGAGGCACTTCAGCTAATAAAGTTAAAGAAGAAGCACAAGAAAGATAGAGATAAGGAGAATTTCTTCAACGGTCACATTGCTTTGGGATTAGATGCGATTAGTCGGCAGAATGATCCCAGAAATGTTATCTGGCCCATACAGTTTTCAGAGGAAAGAGAGCTGCAGGATGTATTGTGCTCCTCGCCCCATGTGGAATTAGGAACAAACTAATCATCAAACACAGAGGAAAAAAATTCTGTGAATGGGAGGAGTTCTCAAAGTTTGTTTTTTAACTAATTGGGCCTTCAGGAACAAAGGGCCTCTCAAGTCCTCCCGCAGCCTAAAAAACCGTCCAAAACCTTTCTGAACAGTGGGAAGGGTGTGGGGCTTTTATTGTTTTCCCCCTTCCCGCTCCCCCCGCCCCGCATTCTTGAGTTGCTAGCATTTATTTCTTCATAGTTTAGAACAGGGGCATGCGGCTCATCAGGGTAATCTGCTGTCAGGCTGTGAGACATTTTGTTTACATTGATCGCCCGCAGGCATGGTTCCCCGCAGCTCCCAGTGGCTGCAGTTCGCCTTTCCTGGCCAATGGGAGCTGCAGCTGTCTTTCCTCTTTCCTCTTTCTCTTTCTTCTGAAAACTTGATGGGACAACTACATTCCTTCAATCATTCTACTAACTTCATAGATGCTTCACTTGTATATTCAGAAGCCTTGAATGGGAACTGTCCAATGCAGTTCAGGAGCAATGGGAAGTATGGGGAGGAGTAGTCACAATGACTGGTTTTATTACTGACTCTGCCACTTGCTCCCTGTGTAACCTTCATCTCAATATGGTCTCTCAACCATTTTTTGGTTTCTTTCTGAAAATCCTGTCTCTCTCTCCCTGCCTCCTGCACCCCTTCAGAGAGAGCCCGCTCCCTGGAAGGTGGGTTGGGAACGCATCGGCCCACTGTGGAGTCCCAGACTCCCCGTGCCCTGGCCAGGGAGGAGTGGAGGAGCTGCGTATGGGAGAACCCCATCAATCGAATAATACAACCGGCTCCAAAGACAAGTCAGACAGCACCTATGGCTCTGCGCACACCTGCTTCGCACGTCTGCGGAGCCGCGGCCCAGAACCCCCGAGGAGGCTGCGCGGTGCAGGGCGCCTACCCCTGCTGGTGGCAGCAGCACAAATATCAAGGTGGCGCGTCGTGCTGCCCTTGGTAACTGTTAGAGATCTTATTCCTTCTCTCTCCCACTTGCCTGGTCCTTCTCGCATGAATAGAGAGCAACAATACCCGAAGTCCGAAGGTGCAAACAATTCGATGTTGATTGGGGTGAACTTCCAGCAAGCTTAAATACAAGCTCCTTTTTCCTTATTTTCTAATCCCAACTTACTTCCTGTCTGCCCCTAATTTATATAGTAATATTCTGAGCTATACCTTAACCAATCATTTTACTGAAATTTAACTAACCAATCCTAATATATTGTAAAATGATTAGCTAACCAGTTATATCCCACCATCTTAATTAATTTATACTCAGCAAAATTAATTATACGGCAGATAGAAACAATCACAGAACCAGACAGAGACCATGCCAATAAACAATAGCAAAGTGGGAACTATAATGACAAAACAATGCAGAAGTGAGGATTTCACAACTACATCTATAAAGACATAAGAGTTTCCCAGCTGTGTCTATGGATAAGTGAGTTCTTACCAGACAGAAAACTATCAACCTAAATTTCCTTTTACATCTTCTAGGCACTTCCCTTTCTCTGGAGGGGATAGGCATTATCAGGACAGGATTGTATTCCTAACAGCCCAATAGCACCTTCTTTCAATGTGACTAGTTTGGAATGTGAGGATGTGACCAGTCGCTTCCTAGCTTATGGCTGCCTCTGTCACTTAGCCAAAGGCCATAGCCTTTAAGGTTTCTGATGTCATACGACTATTCAGTGATGATTCCTAGCCTCATAATTTGGGGCTATTTGATTTTCATTCCAAAAAGGTTTACATTCCCATTTCTTTAACAAATGTTCCCTTGTAATACTCCGGGGCAGATCCTGAGCCACTGCACCTTAGTAGAGCTCCACAGACTTCACTGACTTCTGTGCCTTAAAACTGAGCTAAGGAATTTTATCCTGCTCGAGTTAGAACCAATCCTGATAGAGGCGTACTTTCTACTTCAAAAATCATTCTAATAATGGCTGAAAAGCTTTCTGTCAGAGAAGAGTCTTGCACAATTCTGTAGGTTGGTCAGTCTTTCAATTAATCACGTCTAATCCCACAGCAGTGTGACCTTTGAAGAAGTTCTCCTTATCTCTGTCTTCCTTGTGCTTCTTCCTTATCTTTATTAGCTGAAGTATCTCACAAGACCCAGTGCTCTAGGCTACTCATGGATAGAGATGCAGGAACTGAAGTTTCCCATTGTTTTCACTGGCTCAGCATCTACCCTTCAACTTTAAAATATATCTAAAAGGGAAATGCAAAGGAACAGTAATGAAAATCAAAGAGCCCCAATTTCGGAGGCTAAAGAAATCAGGAGCCGAGTACCGGAATGACATCTGAGAACTTGACACACATTTTTAAAGTCAATCTAATCTTCAAGCTTGGAACATCTAATGCTAATAAAAAGTTATTATTGCTATAAGGAATACAGTTCTTTGGCCCTACAACACTTGATGAGCGTTTGTGAAGTGTTTTGAAATGCTTAGATCAGAGGAAGCCTCAGGTAATGCAGCAGGAGAGTTAT